ATTTGGCTGCAAGGAATTTGCACAAACCATGACAAACTGAGAGGTGTTCTCAGAACACAAACTGTGCAGTTTAATCTGCCCTATTGTGCTGGTACCAAACTCTGTCTGGAGCTGCAGCTGGCTAAATGAAGAGCCCAGCTTCGCTGTGTGTATTATAATCAGGACAGGATTTCACAATAGCTTTGTATAACCCCTTTGTGCAGATATCCAAGGGCTAAGAGGGCTGATTAACCTCAAATGCCGCTCAGAACAGCCAGCCATCAGAGAACACTGTCTGTCTTTCATAACATGCCAGCAAAAATCTCGTGAGGATGGTCTCAGCAGAGTGTGCAGCCAGATTTCTACCTACCCTTCACCCCTGTGGTAAAAAGGAAAAGCTGGCATTCTGCATAGCACCACTCTCCCATAATCCAAGTCAGGTGGGGGGGGAGAGACACATTATTTCTGTGAAATCCTTTCTCCCAAAGCACAAAACCTGCCACTGACCCTGTCATAAGTGGGCACACAGCCACGGCAAACAGGGGAAGTTACACAAGGGTGCAAAACTGTTTATGGAGCCACATCACACACTGGTCCCAGTGTTGCCTTGTGGATAGTAGGTGGGGCCTTTGGCATTTGCGTGGGGGCTCTCCAATGAGACCCAGAGCAGGACAAGGCTCCAGCCTTCTGGTTTTCATAACAGTAGCCCCCTCCAGTAGGGTTGAGGCATGGGAGGAGCTTGCCCAAACTCAAATAAACACTGACATGCAGCATCTTATGAGGATGTGCAGCCTGCACAGGACACACTGCAACAGCTGGAAGGACAAGGACTGAAACTGTAAGTATGTCTACCTTCTCCACTTCCTTAATAGCACTAGTAGTTTGTGGAGTGGCATGTTCTGCCTGCACTTACTTGTGCTAGCAGTGTAACCTGCTGTCTGTCCCTTTGGCCCATGCATTAACAGCTGCAGAAAATAAACTGAACACCCTATAGACATATTTATATGCAGAAATGGACATTTCAAAGTTCAGCTTTCCTGTACATCTAAAAAAATTCAACTGTATCTGGAGGATTCTTCTGCTTGTCTCTCCCATCCTAAAGCATTGTTTTATGTAATTAAAAAAAAAAATTTCTAACATGCAGTCACTGACAGTACTGGCCATAAAGTCACAAAATCCAGAGCTGTCAGGTCTACCCAGTAGCTACAGAAAGGTATGTTGGGAAGCAGCTGGAATTAGCCAGTAAAGAGAAACCAGCTCGTTCAGTAGCTAATACAAGAGTGAAGCAGCAGCACCGTCTTTCAAGCAGCAATAAATTGTTGGAGGAAGTTTCAGTGTAATTCCTCATATTTGCTTCTAATTATATGGATTCCTGCTTTATGATGCTTTGTTGATTTGTAAACACCATGGATGAAGTGTATTACTGCAGTACAAGTGTGCAGCAGGCCCTGGTGACCATCATTCTGGACAGGTCTGCTGGAGATGATGCACCTTCAGGCTGGGACAGGGAAGGGAACAGTACCTGCCTTTACCAGCAGCAGCTGTATCCACAAGTGTGCAGCAGGCCCTGGTGACCATCATTCTGGTCAGGTCTGCTGGAGATGATGCACCTTCAGGCTGGGACAGGGAAGGGAACTGCACCTGCCTTTACCAGCAGCAGCTGTATCCAGCTGTTTGATTCTGATCTTCCCTTCATCTGTGGTGACAAGTGAAGGAGCTGCTGGAAAAAGCTCAACAATGAAGTGGCTCTATGTATTACTTATTTTACAGACTCTAAAGGACCCCAGTACCACCAGGGTTTGTGGCATTTTTTTTTATGGTGTGGTTTAACAACAACTTTTCAACCTCATATCCCAAGAACTCTTCGTAGCCACCTCTAGGCAGAGTACAGAAGGGGATTCATAGAATTCAACAGTAGTCCAAGTATGGCAAGAAGATGTAACAGCCAAGGAACTAGTTAAATAGCACAAGACAGTTGATTTTACAAAATTCACATTGTTACCTACGAAGCAGGTAATTAAGTTATAGTCTGAGAAGACAACATTCTATGACCTAAGAATCCAGATAATGACTGAATGATGTGCTCTTTGCAACATGATGGGTGAAGGACACTGTAATGTAACACAAGGCAGAGACTGTCAGAATGTACATCATATATTACAGTCTGCCTGGTTAACAACAGAAGTCATTTATGGGGGCCACTAAAATCTCAGTATTTAACCAGATCTGATCATTTCAATACTGGTTTTGAATATTTTCACTGGCTTTGTTTGGAACAGTGTTTTTGTTTTCACCTTTTTTCCTCCCATGTGAAGGCTCTAAAGGAAATAGTTATTCATTGAGTAATGCAGAAAATCTCATTTACCCACAGGACTCTGAGGCTAAAAGCCTTTAAGAAAGCCATAGGCTATCATGAGAGGCCAACTACAGTTAAGAGCACAGTGAACACCAGATCACCCACCACACCACTACTGCTTTTTCATCCAGGAGCAAGCAGACTGATGAAGGCCTTTTGACTTACAGATTCCCACAAAACTCCCACTTGCAGGATCTCATTTTGCTGTCAGGAAATACCTTTCTATCATAGAGAGGCAAGGGCAGTGTATTCTGAAAGAACACTTCCTCCAGCAGAGGTAGTTTCTTGGTCCTGGTGCTCTGTTCCTGCAGAGCTCAATAGCTTTCAGCCTTTTTTCAGGCCTTCCACCAGTTCAGCAACAACTGAAAAGCCCTAGTGCCATATTAATTTAAGAGATACCAATAAACTGTATCTACCTTCCAGCTCTGGCAAGATGATCAAGTCCTTCAAGCAAACATTTCTGTCCCTGGACCTGCAGTCCCCTCGCTGGAGCTCAGCAGAGGCAATGGTAACTGCAGCAATACTCATATGCTGATCTGGAAAAAGCAGCTGCTAATGTCTGTCAACACCCAGCTCATGGTTACTGTGACTTTTGCTACCTTTCAGGCAAAGGACTATGAACTGCGTCAGTATGAGACAGCAAAGTGGGTCAGCACGGTCATCAGGGGGGAAAGCCAGAAGGAAGCAATGCGCCAAGGCTTCTGGAAACTCTTCCACTACATCCAGGGAAAGAATGAAAAAGGTAGGAACAGCTGGTTTTAAATGGAAATAATTACAAGTAGCTAATGAACACAAATAATAATGAACAACAGAGGAGCTGGGAGATGCAGTTTAAGACACCTGGTTTTCCTTTCCTCTAGAAATGAAGATTGATATGACTGTGCCAGTGACCTGCCTGGTAAAATCAGGCTGCACAGACTTCAAGATCTCTTTCTTTGTGCCATTTGAACACCAGGACTGTCCCCCCCAGCCCACTGACTCTGATGTGTTCATTGAGGAACGGAAGGCAGCAGCTCTCTTTGTCCGGTAAGCAAGAGCAGCACAGCTGACACCACGTGAATCCAGGGCAGTACCTGCCCTCGTTTAAGTGTAGGCTACACTTTCTTAAGAGATGATTAAATATGGATAGACCCTGCTGTTCAGAGCTTGAACTGCTAAAACCCAGCCCTCAGGCAATCTTACGTTTGGGTGTCTTACCACAAAGACAAGTGACCAAGTTGTGAAACAAAGATTTTTTTTTTAGAAGACATTTGAAAAAGACAGGTTGTTTTACAGAACATCTAAACTGCTCTCCCAGCACTTTTATTTTAGTCCTTAACTGCCACAAGACAGGCAGGGCAGTTGGTACTTGGGTGCTTACTTGTTTTAAATATTATCTTCAAAAACAAATACCCATGCTGCTTGCCTGCTAGTTCTGCATGGGTAATCACTAACTACAAACTGCAGCACAAGTGCACAAACATGCTTTTTAAGTCTGAGCATTCTGTCTGTGAAAATAAAGCAAGGGGCGTGAGCCAAAACTTTTCCTTTTCTCACTTTTACCAGGTCCTTTGGTGGATTTGCCTCCCCAGAGAAGTATGCTGAGGAAGCTGATGCCTTGGCCAGAACCTTAAGAAACAGAGGCCAACCATTCCATGAAGATTTCTTTTATACTGCAGGCTATGACAGTCCCTTCAAGCTCTTTAACAGGCATAATGAAGTGTGGTATTTTAAAAAGTAACACAATGGGGGAACATTAAGAGGCTACTAATCAGCTCTGGATGAAAACAGACCTTATTACTGGCTTTTTAGTGCAGCAAAGATTTAATTCACATGTGGACACAACGTCCAAATTTATTTTCTCTAGGATTAAGATTTTCTGGATAAAATGTTTTCTGGATAAAAACATTTCACAATGTAATTCAAGATCATACCAGGTGGAGTGGGTGGGAAATGTAACAAACTTACTCCTCTTATTGAAAGGTTCTAAGCAACACTAATAATGTGAAAATAATCCTGCTGAAGTTTAGGTCTGTAGCTTTATTCCTTATTACAAGTGCTACAGCAGTAGTTGAAGTGTTATGGAAAGGGAGTTCTTCATAACTGACTTTCATAAGCTGACTTTCCCATATTGACCTCACCCCTGCGACCAGGGAGGAATTTAAATCATTTTTCAGAGAAGCAAGCTTCCATTAAGGAGCATTAGAAAGCAGAAACATCTTAGGCCTTAATGACTTATAAACAGTAACTCTTGTTATTTAGTATTATCAAAATCTCCCACCTCTCCAACTTTTCCCCTCCTGAAGACCAAGTGTTGTGTTGTTAAAATCCAGAACCCTTGGGAAAGGGTTACCCAGGCCAAGCTGTACACTTGTTCTGAGAAGATCTGCACCTGAACACGTAATACCAGGATTACTGGTAGACTATTACTTTAGTAGCAAATATACAAGTTTAGCTCTCTCCTTAAAACACTTGAAACAAATACTGAACTTTAGCTTTCTCTAAAATATGGTGACTTGCAGCCTGCACACCAGCAGTATTTGACACCTCAGTTAAGACACTTGCAGGACTAGCATCTAGCCTATTTTAGTCCCTGCTCTAAATCAAGCATGCTAAATGTAAATATAGCAGCCTGAGGTACTTTGCATCAAGCTGTTCCAGCCAGAAAGGAGGTCACAACACCGGGTAGAGTTTACAGATTTTTATTCGCTCCAATCAACATCAGGCAAACATTACCAGTGAGGTAAAAACACATTGGCTTTTTTAATGCTGTTCATGCAAGTGTAACCCATTCATCCAATCTTCCACCTATTAAGACAGACAGAAGAACCATTATAAGGTACCAAACCAGCACAACACACTTGATGGGAACATCTCAGACCTTAGGATTTCATCTCTGTTCAGTGAGAGAGTTCAAGCTAAGGTTTATCATCATTTGTTCCAACAAATACATTACTGCTGTTACACTCACCTTCTCAATTCTTCATATGCTAGTTTCAGAGTTGCCTCTTCACCTAAATCAAGAAAACACAATTAGCATATGCAGCAGCACAACTGTTAAAAGCTCCACAACAGCTTTGTAACCTCAGATAGAAATGGAACGGAAAGGGTGATATCACAGTAACTCATTTGGCAGAATCAATTTCATCAGTGGCTACAAATATTTCCAGAAGTTTTTAGTACAATTCATCTGTTCTGTGGACTTACCTAGTGAGGCTGCAGACACTGTACAGTCCCTTCCTGAGGAAGAAAGAAGTACTTTCAGAATAACAGACAGCAGCACTAAATGCAAAGTTTATTTATCTATTCATTTCTATTCACTAAACTTTTACTCAAAGGAAACTGACTTTTAATTGGCATCTTACAAGTTCAACTTACAACACCCAAAAGAGGATACACATAGCTTACAAATCCCAACTTAACTGGAAATACAGAATTCCTAACATTGCAACAATCAGGGAAAGTAAAAAGCTACTAATTTGATTTGTGATACTGCCTCTCCAAAAATGCTGTATTTCATTATTTTAAATACCTAAAATACAAGTCCCATGGCTTTAATTTTTAAAGTGTTTGGAGTGTTCCAGTTTGTTTGAAAACAAGTTTGTACAGCAATAATCTAGAATTTGTGCTACATTTGTGTGGAGACAATATAAAGATCAGTAGTAACAACTCTGAGAAGTGACAGCCACAGACAATGTTTTTATTTTAATTCCAGAGGGCAGTGTTACAGTAGTGCCCACAGAACAGCCAGATATAATAAAGGGAAGACAAATCAGGTATCTCATAGGACTAATTTTAGGCACCACTATTTAGGCATTCAGCACAAAGACAATACTGCAGGAATTATTAAACCCCATGTATTCTACACTTACCTCAGGCACATTTATCTTGTTTCTCAAACTCCATGCAAGCATCACCCTGTAAAGAAGGGAAATTGTACTAACACACCTTTGGCAGTGGTTTGAACAAGTGTGAATGTGGGTACTGTTTCAGCACAAGAGTTCTCCTCAGCCTCTTTCAGAGAGATTCCCATTGTTTAGAATTCATCACAAACAGTACATGCCAAGAGTAGCTTAATGGTGTATCTTTGTGACAAACCCTTTAAAGGGGGATCTGACCTTAGCCCCAACCACATCATTCACATCACCATAAGAGCTCTGATCTAGCCACTGAGATGAACAATTTAACACATAAGCATTCAAGATCAGTGCCACTCCCTGAAAGAGCCCACTAAATTTAAACAGCAAGAAGTTTAATAGCAGGTACTGCTACTGTACTGCATTTATTTAGCCCAGAATGTGTGGCAACCTGGTAGCACAGAGCTTTTCTCATCAAGTAGGAATTCAAATAGTCCATAGCAGTTACACATTTAAAATGGTCACCACTATTTCTTTAGTCACAGAAAGCAGTTAGTTTTGAGATATGCAGCACCTTGGGGGAGTGAATCCTGGAGGCTGCTGGCAAATCCAGGCTTTTTACCTGGAAAAAGTAATAAAATCAAGAACTCTGCTGAATGCTGCAGCCAGCCCTGTAACACCCAGGGATCTAGTAAATTCCTCATTCCCTGTATCACACAGTTCTGACAGTCACACTCATGTGTTTGCAACTTACTTTTGCTGGCAGCACTACCAGGTCCTTTACTTCCCAGCTCCATCACACCTGGATCAAAGCAAACCATTAGCACAGTACAGAAACAAGCACAGAAGGAAAAAACCCAAGTCAGGTGCCTGCAGTCAGATAGAGCTAATTACAGACCTCCATGATTGAAGTCAAGGCAATCACATCTCATCACACAGGCAGCTCACACTGTCAGCCCTGTGCAGCCCTGCTAGGCTGCTATGGGCAAGAGGGCAAATACTTAAATAGTGCCATCAGAGCCAATTCAAGAGGAGCTCACTGTGACAGAGTTTAGTGCACACCAGCCTGTCAAGACTGGGCTCCAGCCAGCAGCTCCCTTTTAAAACATGCTCCTGTTTTGGCTGAGATGCATGCCACAGCCAATGGGCCCCATGCCCCCTAGCTGACAAGCAGTTAAAAACTTTACTTATGGGCCTATGTTGAAATCCCAATACTTAGGAAGTAAAAAAAAGTACTTACCTCACAATGAGAAACATTTGGAAACCTGCAACCTGCAAAGAAAAATTTGCCATTAGGCAAGGTCCAGCAGGAAGTTACAGTATTAAGAAGAGCTTGAGTGAACTACTGTATCAGGGTTTGGTTGATTCCTCCTCATGGAGATCAGAGACCTGATTCAACATCATTTACAGTAGGCTGCAACACTCCTATCCCCTTCTGAAGGCAGGCTGTAATAAAGCCATTTCCCAGCACTCTTCAACACTGAGATGTTCATTCCTCACCTCACCAATGCTGAAATTGCAGGAAGAAGCAAACCTTGCAAGTGCAGAGTTCAGTGATGTGAGGTTTGTGTAACCAACTTGGGCTTATGAAGGGTAACTATTCTGGACACTAAAGTCACAGTAACATAGCATTCACCATTTAGTTTCAACAGGAAAATTCTAGAGATCATTAACACCCCAATTATTTGATGCTCTTACAGAAATTCAGGAAATACAGGAAGCTAAAGGCATACTTAACAATACTAATCTTTGTCTTACACCTTTTAAGAACAAAATGAATTTATAAGCATCTCTAAAAGCAGACTCTCAAATGCAGCACAGACAAAAGTAGCATCCATCTAAAAAATGAGTGTTCAGTAATTACCTTTAATTAGGAGGGCCTTCACCAACATTAGTAACAGGTGAAATGGTTTCTCACACCAGAGGCATAGGGCTCATGTCAAGGGCAGCCTGCAAAACAACAAGAAACTTTTAGAACCTGGAGCACTAACACCTGATTAACCTTATTCTGCTATATTCTGTGCTTGACTTCACAACCACATCCTACTCTGTATCTTTCTATTCATCTTACTGCTTTTATTGTTTAACCCACTTACTGGTCTCCTGAGATAAATTTTTAAAACACATTCAGGGAGCAAAAAAAAAATTTATTCCCTTCATCTTCCCACATGATTTGTTTGAACTAGCCTAAGCTACAGGAGGCTGCATCAGGAATTGGCGAAAGATTTAACTGTGATCATCACAGGTCATCTGCTGAACTATGCACTCATCACACAGCAGCCTTTGCAGATAGCAGGGATTAAAGGAGTTTTCAGATGTCAGCAGTGCACTACTTACCTTGTAACAGCTTTTAGTTTCATCTCCCAGTGCCTGCAAAAACAAAACCAAAGTCAGATCCCTTCAGCCTTTGTGGCCAAGCCCACAGCCCCTCCTGGGGGATCACAAGAGCCAGATACATCAGATAGGGGCGAAGCACTGAGTGTTCATCACAGGATATTCTGCTGAACTATGCAGTCATCACTGTATCTGCTCTGCAATCACAGGACCCAGCAATGGCCTCTTGGGTCTGCCTTGACAAGGACATTTCCCCAATTAAAAAAGAAATATGTAGAAGTTTGAATACTAGCTAGTATAAATTGTTCCTGGTCTTAGTGGAAAAGAACCATAAAACACGTGCCATCCTTTTTATTGCAGTGTTTTAACAGCTCTGTGGAAGAAACCTCTACATGAAGTACACATTTTCTTACCAGGTGATGATGTTCCTTGTGCATCCCTCTGAAGTGCAGGGTTCAAATCCTGGAAGTAAAAAACTTGTCAACAGTCTATTCAGCAGTCAAAGCACCGAGGGGAATGTGAAGTGGCTGTGCCTCAGAAAACTGTTATGGTGGTAAAAGTGTTCATCACTCTCTTGGTCAAGAGTAGCAAATAAGTGTCATCACTGTGGCACCAGAGGGATAGCTTTACTCAAGGAATTCAGCTGACAGCATCAGAGCAGAAGATGCCGTCTAGACAAACGCTAGGCACAATTTTATGTTAATTTTTTAAGAATAATTTTACCTTGGAAAGAAGTAGCATTAGGTCTCCACATTTGGGGGCAGATCTGAAAGAGATAGAAGATTTAGATGGAGATGTTTGCAGAACTAGGGAGCTTCTCTGGCAATCACATTAGAAAGCCTCAGCATGGAGTTTTCAGAAATCACTTCTGTCCACTACTCTTATACTGAAACCATCATAGGCTTTGAGATTTACTCAGTATCAATCCCCATAGTTACCAATTTTCTACAACATACTCCAGACAGTTTCCCCAAAATATTATTTACTGTTGTGAAGAAATAGCAGTAAGGAAGGAACAAGGGGCCCTGGGGGTACTCTTGCAGTCTGGTTACAGTGTGAGCAGCAGTTCACAACAAGAGCCTCATCAAGTCTCCCCAGGAGAAATAAACAGGTGACTTTTCCCCGCAGAAAAGGGAGGCCTGCCTGACACTACAGGCAACGCCTAAATTACAATTCTGATACTGTAACTCCTGGTACAGTAGTACCCCAGGCTGGTCGGTGTACACAAACCAAACATCTGTTAATTGCAACTCTGAATTTCAAAAGCAATATTTACCTGCACTGCAGCCACAGGAAAGAAGAGTGTAGCTGATACATGTTGAACTGAAAACAAGAAAGCATATTAGTTGTTCTTCATCCAAAAATGATGCAACATTCACGAATATTACTTTAAAAAACCCAAGCAACACCCGAAATACTTTGAGTCTTATGAGTTCCCCTGATGCAATCTAAATTTTGGCTCTTTAAAGGACTGCGGCCACAAAAAATAATTGCTATTTTGTATTTTTAAGCAGGATGGGATCACTAAGCTACTTTGTTTCCTAAAAAATCAATTCTGGTGTATTATCAGTGGGGTAGGCATGAACTCTAGCTGCCTTAGAGGCCCAATGGTGTCTCAGCCTTCCTAGACAAGGCCATCAGAAGTATTCCATGCCCAGCTCAGGTATGTTGGCATTCATCACCCTCTCAGATGTCCCTACCAACATAGTTCTCATCACGTGCTGAGCATATAGAAACGAAGTGAGCCACTTCTTTTTAAATGTGCTGAGTCAGGACTCACAAGGACCACGGAGTCTAACTCTCAGACCCGCACAGGCCAAGAGTCACCGATGTGCCTGAGCACTGTGCAAATGTTTCCCAAAGCCCAGCAGGGCCGGGGCTGTGAAGCCAGCCCTCAACCCTCCTACACGCAAACACATCCCAGCTATGCGGGCACCCTTAATCCTTCCATAACGCTACCGCTGCTCTTTGCGCAACGCTTCCCATTTATCTGCAAAAACAAGCACCTGAAGGCCCAGCTCAGCTAAAAAAATCCAAACCCACAAAGAGCAGAGACCTATCGCTTGTATTCATAACGGGCACGTGATCCCGCAATAGTGCATGGCCCCAAGTGATGCACAGCAGCCTGGTAGGCCAGAGCCCGTAACTCAGTCCGTGAGACATTAGAGTGACCCGGTACTCCGCCAAACCCGTGTGGGCTCCACAGGGCCTCCCTTGTGTATCCCCAGGGCCGCCATGAGGCGGAGCCCCCAGCGGGGATCTCAGCCTGGATCTCTAGGCCGCGAACCAGGCCCGGCCGCGCAATCCACCTCAATCCGCCCTCGCCACCTCCCATCGGTGCCCGAGCCGCACCCGCGGGGCCCCTAGACCGCCCCCCGGAGCGGTACCGACGCACCCCGAGCGCGGAATCGCCCCCCACTCACCGGTGGGACCGCCTGAGGGACACCGCACCCTCATGGCGGCGGGAAAGGAAAAGGCAGAACGGCTCCAACCCATACTTTATATAGCAGAGGTCACGTGGTGCGGCCGCGGCCACACCCACCGGGGCGCGGCCCACGGGCAGGGGCGGGCCGGGGGCGTACGGTCCGCGCGGCGTTTCCTTCCGGGGCGCGGCCCGCGCTGGCGCGTTTCGGTTCCGGGCCGGCGCTGCGGGCCCTTCCCACCCCCGGCAGGTGAGGCTGGGCCGGGAGGGGCGGGCGGAGCCGCCCGGGGCCCCGGAGCGGCGGGGGCGCGGCCGCCGCCCCGCGGGAGCCAGGCCGGGAGGGGCGGGGGCTGGGGGAGGCCGGTCCCGCCCGCCCCGCGCAGCCCCGGTGCGCGGCCGCGGCTGTCACGGTGAGGAGGAGCCGCGGGCCCCTCCTGGGGAGGGTCCGGGAGCGCCGGGGCCGGGACAGCGGGATCCGGGAGCCTGGTCCTGAGGGAAGGGGGTGGACGGGCCAGGAGCCACCTCCGCCTGTCCCAGTTCAGAGTTGTGTTTGGGCTTGGAGTTGCCGGAGTCCCGTTGGAATGTGCAAGCGGCCAAAGGGGTTTGTTGGGAAGGAATTGTTACCGGTGAGGGTGGGGACGCCCTGGTACAGAGAAGCTGGGGCTGCCCCTGGATCTCTGGCAATGTCCAAGGCCAGGTTGGACGGGGCTTGGAGCAAGCTGGGATAGTGGAAGGTGTCCCTGCCCATGGCAGATGGTGAAAGTGGATGAGCTTTAAGGTCTCTTCCAGCCCAAACCACTCTGGGATTATAAGTAGCTCTCTCTGGGACCAGGGACAGGAGCCATGGAACGGCTGGAGTTTTGTCAGGGGAGGTTTAGTCTGGATGTCAGGGAAAGGTTCCTCAGCCAGAGAGTGCTGGGCACTGCCCAGGCTCCCCAGGGAATGGTCACAGTTCAAAGCTGCCAGAGCTCCAAGGGGGTTTGGATAATGCTGTCAGGCACAGGGTGGGATTGTTGGGGTGTCTGTGGGGAGCCAAGAATTGGCTCAGTGATCCTTGTGGGTCCCTTCCAGCTCAGGATATTCTGTGATTCTTTGAAGTTGCCCAGTCACAGTAAATCTCAGCCCAAAAGCTGAGAGTTTTCAGTGCAGCTTCCAGGGTGACATCATCTGCTGGGTGGTCTGTCTCTGCTTCTTACCTGATGGATCAGGAATTCCACCCACTCCTGGTAGCTGCCTCACACTCACAGGCTGGAGGGCATTTGCTGAGCTAAGTCTGAGTCTCGGCTGGTGACACTTGAAATGGCATTACAAAGAGCAGTGTCTCAGTGCGTGCCCTGTGCTGACTCAGCTCAGCCTGCTCCTAAAGGTGGCTGGAGGTGATGGACTTCCCAGAGCAGGCACAAATCAGGATGTCATTGCCCAGGGGCTGAGGTGCAGGAGCTCTGAGAGATTCCCTTACTCAGAGGGGCAGAAATCAGCCTCTGACAGGGTAGTTTGAACCAAAGGACAGATTCCCTCTCCTCAGCCTCTGAGTGGATCATGACATGCAGGTTCCTTGCCACTGGGTGAGCAGGGTTCTGTGGGTTATAAAGAGTAGATGGATTTTCCCTGCCTCTGCAGTAGAAGCTCACAGATAATTTGTTGAACTCACAGATGATTTGTTGGGCTCTCTGGGGAGCAGCTGCCTTCTCACCACAGCCATACCCAGCCATGCTCAGCAGTTAAGGGCTGATGATTTTTTTTCCCTTCTCTTTCTGTAAATCCCAAGCTCAGCCTCTGCGTCCCTCTTGCCTCCCTGGGTGCTCGTGGCCTTGGCAGGGGTGTTTCACCCTTGCCTTCCTTGAGAGTGCACTCTGAGGCTTATTGCTTTAGGAACAGCTGTTTTGGGAAGATGGTGAGCTAATCCTGCTGCTAGACCCTCCAGCAGAACCAAGAATGACAAAGCTTGATGTTCACAACTGCTCTTGGGAGAACCCAATTCCTCTGCACTTCATTTTTTCTTTCTTTTTACCTCCTAAAGGGGAAGGGGGCAGCAAGTTTTCTTCTCACTACATCAGAAGAAAAAAAAGAAGGCAGCACCCCCATTTCCTTCCCACTGCATGTAACTCACAGCACTCCAGGTAAGATGCTGGGTTTTCTGTTTCCCCTTGTTCTGTGCAGTTGGTGTTCTGCTCCCAATGCTGTGTTGGCACAGAGCTGTGCACTGTGGTTTCCTGATTTTTATGGGATTTGTTGCTTTCTCCAAAAGATAGGGAAGGACATGGAGCTGTTGGAGTGAGTCCAGAGGAGACACTGAGATGATCAGAGCAATGGAGAAGCTCTGATGTGAGGGAAGGCTGAGAGAATTGCAGTGGTTCAGACTGGAGAGGGGAGGCTTCAGGGTGACCTAATTGTGGCCTCCAGTACCTGAAGGAGCTGACAGGAAAGACAGAGAGACTCAGGACAGGGGATGGAGGGATAGGATGAGGGGGAATGGCTTCCCATTGACAGAGAGTAGGTTTAGATTGGATATTGGGAAGGAATTGTTCCCTGTGAGGGTGGGAAGGTCCTGGCACAGGGTGCCCAGAGAAGCTGTGGCTGCCCCTGGATCCCTGGCAGTGTCCAAGGCCAGGTTGGACAGGGCTTGGAGCAACCTGGGACAGTAGAAGGTGTCCCTGCCCATGGCAGGGGTGGAATGGGATGAGCTTTAAGGTCCCTTCCAACCCAAACCATTCTGTGATTCTGTGATAGGGGAAGGAGAGAAGAAGCCCTAAGACCTGGCAGTGTTCAGCTGCACCTTGTGAAGCTTTGTGCACTCTGGTCTGACTTCCCCAGGGACACACAGCCATCCTGCCACTCAGAAATCCCTTGGCACAGCTCCACAAGATTGACAGGCTGTCCTGCAGCTTCGTGTTTAGTCACTGGGTTTGCCAAGTTTGCACAAAGCCTGCTTGGGCATATGGACATGTGCTATGCTGCAATGTTCATCAATTCCAAATAAAAAGTCCTCCAAAGGCAGACATGCTCTTCATGTGCCAATCCCTTAGATTCAGAGAGTCCTCAGAGCGGGCACCGTGAGCTTTGGTATTCCCAGCCTGCTTGAAATGGTTCTGACATCTGCAGGACTCTGCTCAATCCACACTTCAGATGCTCTCCAGCCTGGGAGCTGCTTATGCCATTAGTGGACTTTAATAAGCTTATTTACTTGCCTTTTTTTTTTTTTTTGGATGAGTTTATGTCTCATTTTCATTCATTCCAACTTTTTACCATATATGGTCAGGGCTTCTTTTCCAACTTTGCCAGAATGAAATGTGATGATGTGGTGGTGCATCTTCCCTGGCCCTGCTTGAGATCTCCTGATAAGCCTTGGTGGCCTCAGCTGAGTGGTGAAGGGTCCCCTGACTGCACCAGTTGGGCAGTGAGGTGCTCCTGAGCCTACCAGGAGCTCTTGTAGAGGTGGGACCAATGAGGAACATCCCAGCCCAGGTGAACCATTTACCTGGATTGCAGCCCAAGCAGAGCAGCACCATTGTGAATTGTAGCCCAAGTGGAACAATCCCATTATTGCTCTACTTGGGAAAGAGTCCAGAAGTTACTGACCTAGGGTAGGGCCAGGATGGGGACTTGCTTAGTGATGACCACTGTGAAGTCTCTTGGGACCCTACAAAAGTGATTCTGAGGCCCTCTGAGCTCTCCTGGGCCACAGCTTTGTTTTTCACTCTCCTGTTATATATTTTCTGGCATGTGTCAGAAGTGCCACATATGATGGATATCTCAGGTTAACAAGGCACTTAGGATGCCTTGAGGTCAGATGTGTGCTGGCCAACTTTAAAAAAGTCTCAGGAGGATTTAGGTCCTGGTGTCTCCTTCCCGGTTCCTGTTTTACAAAGGAGCTTTCCTTATTACTTTCTCTTTTCAAGATGCTTAGGAGGTACAAGTGGTGAGAATTTTAATCCATTATGCAATCAGGTGCCTATTTTTAATACCTGTGCCATTTTAAATGTTCTTTTCACATGCAAATGTGCTTTTATTGAGGCTGGCAGAACGAAGTGTTTTGCAGGCTAAAGCTGCAGGGAATGGGGGCCTGTTGGGGACTGGTTTAGCAGAACTCTTGTGCAGGGGAATGCATAGCATGGAGAGATCAGAGAGCTTTTGGAATTCTTTTTTAAGCAAGCTCAAACACACTTCTTCATAACAGAGCCGCTGCCAGGTGTCTTCAGTGGGTGAGGAAGGTCTCTAAAAACTCCAGTGTTTCAAACTCTGTGGAAGCAGGTGAAAAAAGTTGTAATTTCAAATGATTGTCTCTGCTAATGATGGGATCTTTTCCCCCTTTTCCAGTAGAGTCGTGCACCTGCAGCTGGGACAGCCATGGAGAAGAGTGGGAACATTCAGCTGGAGATTCCCAACTTCAGTAACTCTGTCCTGAGCCACCTGAACCAGCTGCGCATGCAGGGCCGGCTGTGTGACATCGTGGTCAACGTGCAGGGCCAGGCTTTCCGTGCGCACAAGGTGGTGCTGGCCGCCAGCTCCCCCTACTTCCGTGACCACATGTCCCTGAACGAGATGAGCACCGTGTCCATCTCCGTCATCAAGAACCCTTCTGTGTTCGAGCAGCTCCTCTCCTTCTGCTACACTGGCAGGATTTGTCTGCAGCTGGCTGACATCATCAGCTACCTGACAGCTGCCAGCTTCCTGCAGATGCAGCACATCATAGACAAATGCACGCAGATACTCGAGGGGATTCATTTCAAAATTAACGTGGCCGAGGTGGAAGCGGAGTTGAGCCAGACCAGGACGAAGCATCAGGAGAGGCCGCCCGAGTCTCACCGGGCGACGCCGACTCTAAACCGTCCCCTGAGCCCCCGTCACAACACCCCCAAGGGGAGCCGCCTGGGCCAGGTCAGCACGGTGCTGGACATCCGGGAGCTGAGCCCGCCCGAGGAGTCCACCAGCCCCCAGATCATCGAGCAGAGCTCCGACGTGGAAGGCAGGGAGCCCATCCTGCGCATCAACAGGGCGGGACAGTGGTACGTGGAGACGGGCATGGGAGAGCGTGGGGCGCAGAACGACGAGGAAGTGCGGGTGCTGGGAGGAGTGCGCATAAAGACCGAAAACCTGGAGGAGTGGCTGGGGACAGAGCACCAGCCCTCGGGAGAAGATGGCAGCAGCGCTGAGGAGGTCACGGCCATGGTGATCGACACCACAGGCCACGGATCCCTGGGCCAGGAGGCTTTTGCCTTAGGCTCCTCTGGGGCCAAAGTGGTCAGGCCAACCAGCAGTGAGATCGACAGGTGGGTGTTTTAAACTTCATTATTCACCTTGGCTGTAAGAGGACGTTATGCAAGATTCTGACCTGGCTGGGTCAGTTGCTTTGGAACATTTCCTCTTTCTATTTCCTTTGGCCATCTTAAGCATAAGAGTGAAAGGGTTTTTACGTGCTGTTAGGAAGTGTGTCCAGTTTGGGTAATAGTATTTTGGCTGGGTAGTGATCAGACAAGGATCTCCAGGTACAGGGGCTAGCTTGGGAAATTACTTATTAGCTCTTAGAGGCTGGGATCTCTACCTCTCAGTGTTTCAGCTGAGGTGATATTTTTTTAAAAGAAGATGTTCAGTTCAGCCTCAGCACTCAGATTAATGAGGTCATATACAGTATGTGTTACATATCTCCATTGCACTGGTGCCTTCTGACCCAGAGACCTGGGGATGGTTCTGGCTGAGAAACAAGCTAGACACCAGCTGTAGGTCAAGGTCTTCCCAGTGGGCCCTGGGTTTACATCTTCTGAGGCAGTTGAAATGGGGAACCCAGTGGCCTCCACTGTTGTTTTGATTTATATGAGAGAGCTGAAAGCCTTTGTTGAAACTGAGTGGTGAAATCTGCTGTGTTTGGATTCTCCATCCATCTGCTTCCCCTCCACTCCAGTATTTGCTTTCTTCCCCTAGGCTCAGGCCAGAGAATGGATTTGATAAAGGGCAGGTCTGTTTTATTTGGGGGGTTGTAATTCTAGGGTTTCCCTTCACATCTGCCTCTCTTCTAGCTCAAGTCCATGGGGAAACAGCTACCTGAAAGCGGTGGATATTCTGTCACTTGTTGCTTAATAAATCAGTCAGTGGGAATAATCTTGGAGAGTGATGCTTTCGACTTCCTTAGCCCTTTTCCTTGGATCAGCTAGTCACTAGCATCTCTTTTTGCACTGCAGTCTGTATGCACTGTTTCCCACTTCTAGTCCATCACATCCCTTGTGTTTCACACTAGGAATGGAGGAGGAGGGTGCTGGAGGAGGGGTGTCCTCTGAGAAATGGTTTCTGTCCTGCTCTACAGTCCCTGAGTCACCAGGCCCATATTAGTTTATTCATGACAGCAGCTCCTCTCTGTTGCTGAACTGGAAGCCAAATGACTCAGTTTTATTTCTCAGATGTTTAGACTGAAACTATAGACCGGTATGATTTGTTTTTTCCTTTATATTTGCATTGTTCCACTTCCAGTGTGTTAGCTGATGAGGCTGAAGAGATGCTGTACAGGTGTCTCTGTTGCTCACCCATTGCTCTAAACCCTGTGGTGACCTGATGCTCATTAAAAATCCCATTTCCACTCTCCCCACTCCACAGATTTAGCCCTTCTGGCAGCATGGTTGCTGTGACTGAGCGGTACAGATCGAAAAGCGAGTCTCCCGGGCGGATGGATGAGCCTAAGCAGCCCAGTTCCCAGGTAGGCAGATCAAGGTGTTTGCAAGTAAATGTTGGCTTGAGGGTGAAGGGGACTTTGTGGTGATGAAGTTATCATACTTTATATTTGCAAGCAATAATGTGTGTGATACAAGGGCCTTTTACTTTGGCAAAGGATCTACCTGCTCACAGGAGAACATGTGCTGGGCAAGTACGATTTAAAATGGATTCTGGCTGTTGTTTGGGATCTTGGCCAGATACTTGGAAAACACAAGGAGTTTCTCTTGTTGTTTGAGGGCATAAATATCCACCCTTATTCTGGGCAGGCCACCAACTCCTGAGGAGAAGCCCCATTTGCCTGCAGAGCTGGATCTGCCCTCAAACACTGGCAGCAAATGCCTGAGCAGAGGGAGGAGGTGTGGCTTGGCTTCTGTGGAAGACGGGTGACAACAGCTGAATCTTTCTATGCCGGTACCAAGACCATTCCCAAAAGCCCTCCAGGCACTACACCAATAAACCTTTTGGGGTGGAGTGTCAAAGAGCTGTGGAGTTTTAGAGAGGTCTCTGTCTCTTCTCCAAGTGACTTGTGTTGCACAGCATACTTTGCAACATAAAGGAGCTCTGAATTCTGTGCTTTCTTGGGCGCAGTTTTGGGGTAGGACGGAGAGATGCACAGAAATGGGAGGGCAGTGGGCTGTAGAGTGCAGCAAAGTGGGACATGGCAGTAATGCCTGTGCCTTATCGTTTTAGTCTAATTTAGTTGCATCCAGTTAGTGTCAAAGTGCCACTGCAGTGCAAGCATGTCAGCCAGCACAGTGCAGAAAGACTCTTGTGAGCCTGACAGGTAGGGAATGTGTCAGTGTGTAAGCTAAGGACTTGGCTGGAGGTGGGTAAGGAGATACTAGGCTGCTTTGCTCTAGTGTAAAACCAAGTGAAGCAAGGGGAGTAAAATTGTGATTGCTGTCTGCTGGCTTTGTTAGACACTTCCATAAAATGACAGATACCTTTTTGTTCCTGTTTTGCAAAGCTTTGTTTTGTGTCCTCAGAAGACATTGCAAAAATTTCAGGTCAAATCAACCCTCTAGGGTAAATGTGACATATTAAGCAATTTTAACTCTACCTACAGAAAAAGTGCTCTTATTTCTGCATTGTGAGACAGCCTCAAACATCAAACCTTAGTCTTTCCACACCATGGGGAAGTATCATCACCTTCCACTCTCCTGGCATTGCGATATCCATACTAAAATAGCCTGGCAGTGAACCCTGCCCAATGGCAGTGGTAGAGTGGAAAGGAAGAACCAGAGCTTTGTGTATCTCCTTTAGTCCTCAACAGCTTCCCTATGCCTGTACAGCTGGATTCAGCAGCACCTGGCACAGTACACTGCTGCTCGTGCCTGTAGAGCCCTGGCTTGCAGAGGAGGTGCCCTCCTGCTGGTTGCTTCTGCACAGGTGGCACCACTGGGAAGCAGCACTGGGGGTGTAAACAGTGCATCTCCAGCACAGAAGCATTCTGGAGTCCGTGTGTTTCTGCTCAGTCTGAATACAATGGCCAGAAGTGTCTGTCCTGAGACCAGGCTTGTGGTTCAGGTTGCTCTTGGCTGTTTGTCTGTGTGACTTCACAAAATACAGAGGAGTCTTTGCTGTGCAAGCTGGGTCAGGCACATCCTTGCCTGCAATGTCACAGGGCTGGGATGGATTACACAGCCAGGCAGGCAAATATCACTCACTGTAAAATGAACTCTAAGTGACATCTGAATAAATACCTGTGTAAAATGACACCTGAAGACTTTCAGATATGATTTGTGGTTTGCTCCTCCTTTGTTTTACTGCAAGCTTATCAGTCGGCTTCTTTTTTTTTTTTTTGGACTTTTAGTAAGGAAAACAGAAGGTGCTACACCCAAGTGTTTTAATTAAACTGGCAATTAAAATTTTTTAAAAGATAACAAGTATTGACATGTGGTCCACAACTGAATTAGTGGCCAAGTGCCCTTGTGTTAAGGGCTGTCTTTTCTTCACCAGATCCAGGGAATGGCTTGGCAGAAGGGACCTTTGCAGCAGTGGTTTCTAATTGATTGCTCGTTTGTCTTCAGCCCCGAGGCCCCAGTTAAGCACTTAAATGTGTGCTTGAGGTTGCAGACATTAGTGCTGCTGATTTTGAGGTTTGGCACATGCTTTACTGGCTGGACCTGGGCCCGATCTTCTCTGCAACTCGTTTTAGGCTGCTTGTTATTTAAATCTGTGCCGTTTCCTTGGCAGGGGGAGGAATCAGCCATGCTGGGAGTGAGCGGTTACGTGGAGTATCTGCGGGAGCAGGAGGTTTCAGAGCGCTGGTTCCGGTACAACCCACGGCTCACGTGCATTTACTGCGCCAAATCCTTCAACCAGAAGGGCAGCCTGGACCGGCACATGCGGCTCCACATGGGCATCACCCCTTTCGTGTGCCGCATGTGCGGGAAGAAGTACACCCGCAAGGATCAGCTGGAGTATCACATCCGCAAGCACACGGGCAACAAGCCCTTCCACTGCCACGTGTGCGGCAAAAGCTTCCCTTTCCAGGCCATCCTCAACCAGCACTTTCGCAAGAACCACCCCGGCTGTCTGCCCCTGGAGGGGCCCCACAGCATCTCCCCCGAGACCACGGTCACGTCCCGGGGGCAGGCAGAGGAGGAATCTCCTCCGCAGGAGGAGGCTGTGGCGGTGGGGGAGACGGCCCAGGGGTCTGTGTCCACGACCGGGCCGGATTGAAGTCCCAGGAGAAAGGACCGTCTTCCCATTCCTGGCTCGAAAGAGTCAGCACCGACCCGGCAGGCTGGTACTGTAATTAGTGCAATGCCACCACTGAACAGAAAGAAGCTCCCAAGATGTTGCCAAAATAGAAAAATCTCTCTTTCTCTCTCTTCCTCTCACACACCCACACACACACCCATAGAGTGTTAAATGTTTTTCTCCCTTATTCCTCCTCCTCTCGGAGAAAAACAGAACAACTGTGTCAATCAACTTCTTATTCAGGGATCGACAGGATTTTAAATTTTTTTACTGTTCTGTAGTGATCTGGGACAAGCAGTCATTTGTATTTCTGGACAGCGCTGTGGCCCAGCAGGGCGTCCCGCCGGCGGTGCCGGGTTCAGCCACAGAGCCATATCCATGCTCCCGCTCGAGGGGAGAGCAGGGGCAAGGGGCTGTTGCCTTTCTCCCTTCCCCAGGTAGTTGCCACAGCAAAGAGAACAAAAATACTGTCCTGGTGGAACCTGCCTTGCCCGAGTGTATTTATCCCTGTCTTATTTTTGGTGTGTCTCTTACATTTTTATTTAAACTGTTATTTTACGGCTTTGGGCTTGCCTGTTCCAGGCATGCAGCCCTGGTGCCCCTTGTTGAAGTGGGCACGGCTACAAAGTGGTATTCCAGAGGTCAGCAAAATGTGAAGGAAGAACTTCAGCTACTGAGAGTGGAATTTAGCAGCTGTGAGGTTTGCATGAGACTCTGATGCATGGGAGAAGGGCTGGAGGGGTGTTCCAGAGGAGGTTATCCTCTGCTGGTGCTGATCTGGAGAGCTGAGCACTCTGAGATCCTGGCTGGAGCGCTGCCATGCTTCAGGTGATGCCAAGGATTAGGAAAGAGATTTTCTGGAGTTGCTGAATTGCAGAGTTAGAGGCTGGCTACCAAAGTCCTCTTTGACCCCTGCTCCCCCCTCGACACACACTTGATCTTTTAGAACAGCAATACGGGATATGGGAATACTGCAATGCTGTTGTCACAGCCGAGCAATCGCAGGTGGTTGCTTTTAAACCTGTTTCTACAAACTAGTTTGATAACTTTTTTATCAATGAAACGCAAAAAGAAAAGAGAAACCTTACTCTATTTCCTTAAAACAGTTCAGGAGACTTTAAAGTGAACGGTTCCTAGAGCAATCACAACTCTGTCCCCTTGCATGGACTTAACATTTTTGTATTCTGAGTAGCTCTGATGTTTAGAGCAAGTTTAGCAAACCTGGAGAGACATGCCTGCGTGTGTATTGTAGGTGTTTGCACGAGCTTACATGGTTCATAACCAGAAAAGCATGGGACAGGCAGATAAGTGCAAATATCCTGACATATTTTTTAAAAAAATATGCAATATTTTAAGAGTTTTCTCTAGTTCTGATGCCAAGTTGTTCGTGATGAAGGGGGAAAATGGATGACAGGTTGCGCGTATCAGGTTTGGTGAAGGAGTTCACTTGAGGATGTATAATGTGTACATGAGGAGGAAGGTGAAGTTCTGAACATTAAGGTGATGGGAGGAACAAGGAGACATTGGAAAAGAAATACACTTCATCTTGCTTCAGCAAGAAAGCTGGATGAGAAGTTAGAGCTGGGGCTTAGCAGGCAGGAGGCTGACCAAGTGACAATAAAGCTTGGCCTGTTGTCTGACTGCAGTTTTGGGCACATGGAAACATCTCCAGCCCTCGCTTTCCCCATCTGCAAATTGGTACTTGGGATCGTTTTCCTGCCCCTTTGGGGGGAATTATTTGGAGAAGGGTGATGTATTCTTGCCTTGATTTATAGATTTTTTTATGTGTGAGGAGTCTCACTGTTCCTCCCATCTCTCTCTCAACAAGAGATGTGGCTCTAGTGCGTTTTTGTGTGTGGGAAAGGGCTCGGTGCCAGCATCACGTGTAACAGAGATGTGATCCTACAAGAGGAACCTTTGCAGGTGTTCTGAGCTGGGTACCTGCAAAGTACCATTTCATTGACCATTTCAAACAGGAAAACTGATATTTCACCTCCGTTTTCCTTCTGTGCCTTCTTCCTCCTCTCCTGTCAAGGGCATCCATCACACAGGGAGTGATTTGGCCACCCAAACAACCAGCTCCGTCAGGTTTCCCAGCAAAGGTCAAACACCACGGTACCAAAACACTGAGGTTGCCAGAGAGCAGTGGCAGAGGATGAGGTGAGAGGGTGGCCAAGGTAGGTTTTGTTGCAATCAAGGTGCAGGGAGGAGTGGAGATGTGCTGCTTTAGTCATAGCTTTTGAAGTTACCAAAAATGAAAAAAAAAAAGTTAAAAACTTTGAAATCCTATCCTGTTCACACTAGAGAGCATAAAAAGTTACTTTTAGTTGCTTAAAAGATTTTTAAGTGTTTTAAAATAGAAATTTTAAAAGAATACTACCAAACTATAAAAACATAAAATTATTTATATACATATATTATATAAAAATATAGTGGGAAAGTTTCCCTGCTAAGCTTGCTGTGAAGAGAAGGGTGAAGGTGCAGTAACTGCTACAGAAGCAACATTTCTCTGAGACAGATGGCAACCGTAATGAAGAAGGGCTGACATAAAATGGTGAATGCCTTCGCTCCCATGGCATAGCTGTGAGTTTCTTGAGCAGGTTTTTATTTTACTGTATCAATACTGTGAAAGGAGAAGCATCCAAACAGTACAGGATGCCAGCAGCGTGTCCTGTTTGCTGATTCACTACTTCAAGTGGCCTGGTGAAAACCATGAAATTAGTCCTTCATACCTTACTAGGCTGAAAACAAAGCTTGTGAAAGGTTTTTATTTTTTCCTCCTTTATGTTTGCTTTTCTTTTTGGGTTTGTTTTTTGGTTGTTTTTTTTTTGTTTTGTTTTTTTTTTTTTTTTTTTTGTGCAGAGGTTGCCACTGTATAAATGATCATTTCTGATTGCATGCAAAAGAGCCAATATTCTTGCCCAGGCCTCGCTGAGGTGAAGTTTATAGCTTGTAGCTAGAGTCAGTATAAGGTATGGTAGTGGGAATCATTTTGATATTATTTCTGTACATTTAATGGATGTGTATGTATGTGTGGGATTCATGATGTCTAATATTTCTTGAACAGTGCTGAAACCAGTTCAGGCCCATCCGCACTAGACAGTGGAACCAGTTCTGAAGGAATCGTTATTGAACATTTCTTTCAAGGGTCGACTTCCTGAGTGCAGATGAGACCAAGGTTCGAGAAAAAAGGGGTTGGAGGTGCTGTACGGTATGGAGAAACCTCATGTGAATTTTCTGGCAGTGGTGTAGCTACTTTAGAGGTGCTTTCCCTAACAGAATGATACTGTGTCCTGTTGCCTCTGCGTTGGTGTGGCTCTTTACGGTTGCACCAAAGCTGTGGAGAATCAGATGCCAACTTTCCAAGTGTGAATGCTTCTGTGATGGGTTGAGGCACAGCTTTGCATTCCCACATCTAGCTGCATCTTGTTCTGCCAAAACTGTGATTTCAACTGTGATTTAAGGAGGATGTGAAGAGAACTCTTGTGTTTTAATACCTCTGTACGTAACATTTTTGTCTGCTTTAGAGTTAGGGCTTACTAACCCATTTGTTTTCTTGCCTCAGGCAACAGGGAGAACACACTCTGGTTTTACAGTTTTCTTTCTTGGAGGTGGACATATTTCTTAGTTCTTTGCTGTCAAAGAACTCACCTCCCAAATGTGAAGAGTTGTGGTTATCTCCTTAAGCCTGCAGCAAGCCCTGGTGCCAAGTGTCAAGCCAAGTGACATGATGGTTGCCACGGCTGTTCCCTGCTGCTGCCAGGTTACCTGTGAATAGCTGTGAAAATAGCAAGAATTGTGTTAATACTGTGTTGCTGCTTTGGAGAAAAGCTAAACCTCTTTGTCTCAGGAGGATGACTGATGTGACGCTGGGAAAAGGAGAAGGCCAAAATGCAATGAGAGGATGTGAGAACAAATTGTGCTTTGTATTTCCAGCAGCTAGAGAGGGATGAATGAGAGGCTTTGTGGAATGTGAATCTGTTGCAGAAGGCTGAGGACATGCTTAGAGCTAGCTTAGTAAGATGCAGGGATAGCCTGGTGAGAGGTAGAGCAGCCAGTGCAAGTGGGCAGTCCCTCCTCGTCCTCTAAGCATTATCCACCATCAGGTTCAGTCCTTGGACCTTCCTACATCTTGTCTACAATATTCTCAAGCTGTGACCTGTATAATTTAACTTTAGTTTGGGTGCTGGGAAGAGCAGAAAGCATGTTGTGTTTTAAACGCAGAGAGGTCGGCAGCGACTGACCCCGTTCCCATCTGACAGCTCTACAGAGCTGGAACAGCACTGGGAACAAGCTGAAAAGCATCATGGGGCTGGCTCAGCACACAGGGCACAGAGCCAACATTTCAGCCCTCTGTGAGCTCAAGGTCGAAATACATGGACAGGACAGCTCTCCCTGCTTGTTCTGCTCTCATTTTGTGACAGCTCCGTGGCTGCGTTTCCATCCCACACTCCCACACCTCTGCAATAGGAATGTCACTAAACTGTGGGATGCCCATTTCAGGAAGTGATTCCAAGCAGTTTGGTTTTGGAGTAGAGTCCTTGCTACTTTTGGGTGATTCCTAACAAGGATCCCAAGGATGAGCCCTAACAAGGCCTTTGCATGAGCAGAGTGGTAGCTTTTATTTGCTGCTGACTTCATCTGTCCTGCAGAGTCCAACAAATAAATAGGAAGACAGCTGCAAAGGTGCAGCTGATTAAACTGATTTGGGTGAAGGTGGCCTGGGAAGTAGATAGGATTGTGCATCTTGAAAACCAACAAAAACCAGCCCTTAAGATTATTTAAACTTTACTAAACTCTCCTCTTTGATCCATGACATGCCTGCCAATATAGCCATGTCAGCATCCAAATGTTTCTGCAATTAGTAACATTAAATGCTGTTCAAGCTCTGCTGGAAATATCTTGGAGATGGGAAAAGTCCCTGCTCATGGCAAGATGGTTGGACTAGATGACCTCTAAAGGTCCCTTCCAACCCATACTATTCCATAAGTCAAGAAGCTATAATTCAAGGAGACTTTTTGCCAGGGTCTGGGCTCTGAGTTTTCCCTGGGAGCTGAGTCTGTGGCCAGGACTGCAGCTGGAAAGCCTGGGATCCACTGCCATAGCAAAATAATTGTGGTGAGCATTGCTTCTGTCACAAGGTGAGAGCCATGCACAGAGTTTTGATAGCTGCAGTTAAAGGGCCTAAAGAGGAGCTCAGAATCCTTATTTTAATCGCTGTCATTCAAATGATATTTTAATATAAAATACATATGTACCTGTGTACGTATATGTGTGTATATATTTGTAACCAAATAGAATTTAGAACTATGCAAACAATACTGGCTGCTTCTTGAAACTAAAGTCTACCAGAACGTTTTGGAATAGAGTAGATTTGGAGTAGACTTGCTGTGGAGGTTTGTTTGTTTGTTTGTTTTTGTTTTGTTTTATAATCAGTAAAATGCAGCAGACCAAAGTTTTGCTGCAGTTAGTCTTACTAGAAATGTAGGTTATTCCTAACCTGAAACCCACTCAAGAGGGTTATAAAATTATCTGAAGAGTGCTACCATCTCTAAAATATTTCCATCTGCTGAAAGGCTTTGGCTTGGCAAACATAGAAAAACACAGAGGCTGGGAATTAGGAGAGATTGAATGTGACTTTGGGCTGATGGAATCAAGAAAGGACTGGGAGCATTTTCTTTTGGATGTAGGATTGAGTTGGTTTCAAGGCATCTTCTCCTTGGGAAAATGTGCATTGCTGAGATGGAGGCAGTGATCAGAGCATCCCTGGGATGAATTCTGGTTTTATTGGAGGTATTGGAAAGCTTCCTGCTGAATCTGATGGTACAAGAGTTTAGGCTGCTGGGAGAAATTCCACATGATTTCTGCCATTTCTTTGTGTCAGATCTGATCTTTGCTTTTAGGATTAACTGCAATGTATCTGTAACTTTCAGTGAGCTTTGGCTTTTTATTCCTGGAACTGTAGACAATTCAGGTTTCCCATAACATTATCCTCATCCCAACTGTGAACAAGTTACTACTGCTTCTTATAATTTATTCTTTCTGTTCCTGAATGTCTGTGTGATCCAGCTGGTCACCAGCACCACCTTCCAGTGCTTCATTAGCTTTTATGCACAGGGAATTGTTGCAATGGATAAGTTGACCGTGCTAGTTGGAAGAGTAGAAGCTTTTGGAGAATGACTTTTGCTTCCTCTAGCTGTCATTAGGGAGTGCACACACACATACTTGTATATACATATATAGAAACAAATATAATGTGTTTCAATATAAACTCCTTTAGCATTATTCTTATTTAATTTATATTTTAATCTAGTTGTAAACCAAAGTATTACAGCTTGTGAAATGATGTCTCTCTGAAATAGGAGGAACCTTTTTTTAGGTGGGAGTTTTGAAAGGTCTTTGGTGACAAAAACATGGATAGGAGTAAGACTTAAGAACTTGTGCTGCTGGGGAGTTGCAGCCTTGAAAGGATTTGAAACTTGCTGAGTAAAGTTGGATAGTGGGGCCTTCTGAAGGTGTTCTTCATGGTCCTTAACAGTTTTGTTGTAAAACAAGGATGTTCTGGCAAAGCTAGAAATAAAAGGAGAGAAAGCAGAAAATCAGATTGTGACCTGGCACAGCCAGGAGCTGGGGAGGAAGCCACAAAACCAGCCACTGATGTATTTAGTGTGTAATTTAAAGTTTTAGGAAATGAGCCATTGCTATTTAGTGGTGTCTAGAAGTTGGGGGTTGGTTAATAACTTCTGTAAAGGCACATGTTCTGCTGTCACCAATGGGAAGAAATAATGGGTTCAAAGATGAGATCTTGCTGGTTTTTCTGTGCAGGGAGTAATTACCTTTCTGAGGAATTAGCAAGTGCTAAGAGCAAATTCACCTCTAATATGTCCCACAGGCTTGGCAGTGGCTCTGCTTCCTCTAGGGAGGAGGAAGAGAGCTGAAATAGGGAGAGAGCTTATCTGCTTTCAGCCCTGGCTGGTGCTGGTGGCCCTGGAACCACACAGGGGAATGAGTAGAGAGGTAGAACAGCAGCACAGCATCACTGGGAAGAGGTAGTGCATGTATGTGGCATGCCATGGATGCTGTGGGCAGGGAAATGCTGGGTGTAGAACCTGCACAGGGGCAGGAGCATGCAGGAAATGCTGCTGCCTTGTGACACAGGTGTCCAAAGATGCCTATCCTGGCACATGACAGCTGAGCAGCACCAGTGTTTCCTTGCTGGAGCTGTGAATAGTAAGAAGGAAAAGGGCTCAGTCTCCTGTGGGGGCAAGATTTGCTGTGAGCATTTCAAAAATGCCATTGGAAGGAACTGAAGGGTGGGAAGTGAAGAGTGGAAGGGGCAGTACTAGACTTCCAAGTGCCATTTTCTGAGTTTTCTAGCAAGTGTTGAAGACTGAAGTTTGTTTTTGTTTCAGTGCTTTCTCCTTTACCTATATAATTTTTCCTATTTAAACTCCACAGCTCAGGGAAGGGTGCAGAGAAGATGGAGCCAGACCCTTCCTGGAGGCACATGGTGGAAGGAGGAGCAGCAGTAGGCAGCAGTTTATACCAGGGAAAATCAGGTTAGGTATGATAAGACATTATCTCACCATCAGTACAGTCAAACAGCATTGGATCAGGTTGTCCAGAGAGGCTGGGAAATCTCCACCACGGGAGAGTGCAGCCTCCAAGTTCCTGTTTCCGTTAGACTGCGCCAAGCTGTATTTTTGTTACCTTTTTTTTTTTTTCAGTTTTATCATGTAAAATTGGCAGCTTTACTGGCCTTCCTAGTTTGTATCAGTTAAGCTTTTGAAACATGT